TTCGCCGTAGACCGAGTGAAGACGGAAGCGGTGCTGTCCAACGACGACGACCTCTTCTACACCCCCGAAAGCGCCGAGTACCTCTTTCGGGTGCACACCACAACTGACACTCACCACGCCCGCACGCCTGCACGCACGCACGCACTGTTGACAGTTCGTGATCATTGGCGTGGTGCGCATTTGTCAGATCTGGCAGAGGCACCGCCGGTCGATCGTTGGCGACTCCCCTCGTTTCAGCGGTGATGGCACCTACGAGTTCGATGGTCACCCGTGTCTCAACGTCGTGCTCACCAACTCGGCGTTCGTGCCCACTGCCCTGATGCGCCAGTACTCGGAGCCCACGGCAGGTCCAGTCGCCCAGCTCAGGGCGCACGTAGATGAGCACACCAACTGCGAGGACATTGGCATCAACTTTGTCGCGGCCGCCTCCACAGAGCCTGAGATGGTGATGGATCCGCCGGTGTCTGTCAGCATGCCAGGCGGATGGGCCAACGAGCGGCTGATGGCCACTCTCATCAATCACCAGTACGTCCACTACTACTTGGCTCTTTCCTTACCTCATGGCCACACTTACACACCCACCCACCCACACATGCAACTCCAGGCTGGCCTCAGTTCACAGCCGGCCCACTACACCAAAAGGGCTAACTGTGGGAAGGCGTTTATGGGCTTCTTTGGCAGGCTAGGGCTGCCCAACATCAGACACACCTACACCCTCCAGCAGCATCTTGACCACAAGCTGTAATTTTTTCCATCACCATTTTTATACTTTTGGGAGTGTGGAGCTCAAGCACCCACTTGGGATAGGTTGTGCTCATGAGGCTCAGCTACACAAACTTGTCCAACAAGCAGCTATCCCACATCCCATCCAGGCAGCGATTCGGCCGACGAGGGCACCAACGGCGACAAATACTTGACCCAACAATTGGGCCCCGATCCGTTGCTCTGCCGATCATACAGCCACCCGTTGCATTCGCTGGTGATATCGCACACGGACTGGCACTGCTGATCGCTGGTGACGTGTACGCCGCCTTGCACGAGATCGCACGGATCCGCTGATCCTTCAGTATGGTGTACGTCGAGTTCTTCTTTTTGAAGTAGAGGTAGATGCCAATGAACACGGCGGCGATGACGACGATCATGCCCAGGCCGATCAGCGTGGCCATCCTGTGGCCATCGGTTGTCGACTTGCTTTTACGAGAAGCACCGATTCAAACAATGGCGTCTCAATAAAACGCAGCTCCGGCCTTGGCTCTATTTTTCGTCCACACAACATGAACGCCGACGAGTACCTCGATTACATCAGCAATAGATCTGTATGCATGATCCTGACTCATCACAACAGCGGCAACTACGCACTCAACGAGGACGAGAGGGGGGCCGTCGCAGCGGCATCCGAAGGCCGATTGGAGGATCTGCATCGATACGACAAGGGTGTGGTGCGGTGCGGCGGCGACATGCCACTCAGGATGGCGGCCAAGGGTGGTCATCTGGCGTACGTGCGTTATCTGCTCGAGGAGTGCGGTGCCGACATCCACGCCGAATCCGACCGACACGATTCGATTACGCTGGCTCTGACCAAGGACGCGATCATCTCAAGCGCGGCCCACCGAAACGACATCGAGATGCTCGATTACCTGCTTTCACGCCACCCCGAGCGCCTCTGCACCGACCACGCCGCAAGGAACATTACGTCGGACATAATGAATGCGATTTCGGATGGACACGTCGAAGTCGTCGGGCGCCTGCTGGCGCACGGGGAAAAGGCGCCGAAAAAGGCCGTACGCTACCTCCGTTGGTACACGCCCGAGGAATCCGTGATCCCCATCCTCGAGCTGTTCCTCTTTGGCGAGTGCGCTCAGTCCTTATCGTCCGAGGAATGGTCGGATCTCCTCAGCACGGCCGCACTCAACCACAAACTCGAACGCGCCAAGTGGATCGCCGCGCGTTGTCCTCGAGACCGGCAACTCGACTACGATGAGGCACTCTACTCGGCCACATACAGTAATCATGAATACGGCGATTATCCGATGATCGTTTGGTTGCTCGATCAAGGAGCACGGTTCGATCAGATCAAAATCAAGGACGGGCTACAGGTGCTCCCAAACATGAACGGTGAGGTCCATGTCGCCCATGCGGCGCCAGTGCGTCGGTATCTATCGCGCAAATGATGTCGAGGCCGGTACACGTGACGCTGAATGGTGGTGGCGGCGCAGAGGCGGTGTATAGAGGCACGGCCATCTTGTCAAAGCACTTGACGATCGTAGTCGTGGTCCATCATGATCGACTCGATCTTGCCCGCTCAAAGACTTTTGGACCACACCACAGCCCCAGAGGACCCCGGATCGTAGACAGTCGGTCCGAGGACGGCAATGTGTCCTGCCACTGACCAATGCGGTAGCGCCGTCAATCTGCACAAATTCCCGTAGCGCGAGAAAAGAGAGCCAACTTTTCTCCACCAACTGTAGTTGTTCGGCGAAGCCAGAACAACGCAGTTTGTTGCGACCCAAATAAAGTGGCTCCCCTCTTCGTGTGACGGTTGGCATGGAGATGACTCGGCTAGGGTCGGGGACACGCAGTTAGCGTGCTTTCCCTTTTTTTGCTCCCTTGCTGCGCTTTTTGGCAAATTGCCGTTTCGCGCAGCTAGTGTGAGCCGGTGGGCGCCGGTTAGGCGCTCACCAGCCTCGTCTTGCAAGCACAGGGGAGGGAGACTTATTCTTTTTCTAGTCTCCCAGAGTGCGCTCGCACATCCCTCCCTCTCTGTTCCCGCCCAGTCTTTTCAGGCTGTGCTGTTGCCCTGCCTCACCATCTTTTCTCCTCTCTGCCCATGTCTCTTTTTTCTCCGATGCTTTCAGAGTCAGAGCGAGCAGAGGAGGCGAGAGCAGTAGCCGATGGAGGATGGTTTGTTGTTATGGTGTCATTGTTTCGTTTTGTTTGCTTTGTGCCTTTTGTTTGGCCATACACTCCTGCTAGCCTACATGTGTGAGGGGAGCCACTTTTATTTGGGGAGCACCACAATTCTGTTTCGCCCAGACAGGAGCAAATTTTGGAGTGAAAGAGAGCCAACTTTTCTCCACCAAATTCATTTTCTTCTTGGGCCTCCGAGCCCCGAGAGGCCTGATAGCTCCCAGCAGAAAAAGAAAAGTTGCTCTGTTTGGCATCATCATCAAACCAAGAGGTCCAAGGATGGAGGAAATCGAGAAGCTACAGCTTTTGTCGCTGATTCCCAGGCCCGAGCCCAGCGAGTGCCACATCGCGCAGGAGTTGCAGGCCACCAAGACCTCGATCATCGAGCAGCGCAAGACCCTGCCGATCTTCAAGCTGCGCGAGGAGATGCTCCAGGCCATGCACGACAACCAGCTTCTGGTCGTATTTGGCGAGGCGGGATCCGGCAAGACGACACAGATGACGCAGTACCTGGCCGAAGCTGGCTACGCCTCGCGTGGCATGATCGGGTGCACGCAGCCCAGGCGTGTGGCTGCCACGTCCGCCGCCAAGCGTGTGGCCGAGGAATTCGGTTGCCGCCTGGGTCAGGAGGTTGGCTACGCCATCCGTTTCGACGACTGCACCAGCCCCGAGACCAAGGTGAAGTACATGACCGACGGTATGCTGCTGCGCGAGTGCATTCTCGACCCCAGCCTGTCGAAGTACTCGGTGCTCATACTCGACGAGGCTCACGAGCGGACCATCCCCACGGACGTCCTCTTCGGCCTGCTGAAGAAGGCGACGCAGAACTGCCCTGACCTCAAGCTCATCATCACGTCGGCCATGCTCGAATATGCCGAGAAGTTCTCCACCTACTTCAACAACTGCCCGATCTTCACCATACCCGGCCGCACGTTCCCCGTCGAGATCCTCTACACGAAGTCGCCCGAGACCGACTACCTCGACGAGGCCCTCATCACCGTCATGCAGATCCATCTCTCCGAGCCGCCCGGCGACGTCTTGCTCTTCCTCACGGGTCAGGAGGAGATTGATACGGCGTGCCAGATCCTCTCTGAGCGAATGAAGTCGCTCGGCCCGATGGTGCCCGAGCTGGTCATCCTGCCCGTCTACTCGGCCCTGCCCTCCGAGATGCAGACGCGAATCTTCGAGCCGGCGGCCAGGGGCTCGCGAAAGGTCGTCGTCGCCACCAACATCGCCCAGACATCGGTCACCATCGACGGAATCTACTACGTCGTCGATCCCGGCTTCGTCAAGCAGAAGGTCTACGACCCGAAGATGGGTATGGACTCGCTCGTCGTGTCCCATCTCGCAGGCCGCCGCGAGGCAGCGGGCCGGCCGTGCCGGGCGAACGGGCCCCGGCAAGTGCTACCGGCTGTACACGGAGTGGCTTGAGACGCACGTTGCGCACCGATCTGATCAGCGTGTTGGATTGCGATGACTTGCTGTGGGTCCTCTTGTAGATCACCCATCCGATGACCGCAAACACGATAACGACAATGATGACAGCAACGACACCCCACATTTTTGCTGAATGGCACATGCAGGCATATTGATTTGCAATTACTGGCTCATGCAGATGTTGGACACGGATGCTGGGGTCGACGATCCGGGGAACTTGGACGCGACCGTGACCGGCGTGGGCTACGATGATCCGGCCGTTGGAGAGAGCGTGAAGACCAGATTGAACGCCTTGGAAGGTGATGTGGATGCGGATGCCTCAGAATCTGTACTGATAATTGCACTGAGTGCATTGCACAAATGTGGTGAGGGGTTCGTTGGCGCTGTGCGTCTGGAGCTGGTAGTACATAGTGAACCAGCTGTGGCAGTTGTGCTTGTTGCATTGGAACATGCCATGCTTGGCCACCTCCTTGGGCTTGAGTGTTTGTGTGTGCAGCAAGGGGAACATGTCTGTGTGTGTCATGGTGGCCAACTGCTCTGGTGACATGCTGATGAGAATGGACTTGTGCAGCTGGGGTTGTGGCCCTTGGCATTGATGAGGTTGGTGTGCATGCTGCACACCTGCGCCAGATAGCGCTGCAGACATAGTTGGTGGTGCTCAACATCAAACCAGGACAGCAAGGACCACTGGTCTGTGCCCAAGGACACCAACTGGTATCTCATCAACGTGCCCAAGGTCGCGGCCTTTGCAGATACAAGGAAGAGTCCATAATAAGTTCCTCTGCAGGTGCTATGAGGAGATTCGTACCTGACATGAAGCACAGTGTTCTTGAAATTGTTGGCAGGTGGTGCCTCCATATTGGTCGTGGTCATGTGATCCAGGAGACCTGAATGCACCAGGAGCATGCACAAAAATGTGGCCTTGGTCATGTTGACAGGGTTGATGAGCACTGGACTGCCCAGGATGGAACTGAGGCTGCACAGGGCAGTGTCCTGATGTGTGCCTGCTTGGTCCAGATGACAGCCACAAGGGGTCAATCAAAGAAGGCACAGCTGCTCAGTTTGCCATCCTCCATGAGCAGCGCCAGCATGAATGCCAGGGCAGGTTTGGTGCAGGTAGCAAATGGCGAAGGCATGGGCCTTGGCCTTGTCCATGGCGGCACACAGCTCCTTGAGAGCCACAAGATCACCAGGACCAGCCTTGGCACCAGTGAAGAGCAAGGGGACCATGGACTGCATTGGGTTGTTGGGTGAGGATGCAAAGTGTTGGCCATCAATGACCATGAAATGATGGGTGGTGAGGAAGGGCTCAGGTTCCAATGTCCAATCCAGTCCATGAACCATGCAATTGCAATGTGAGCAGGATGTCATCACTGCCTTGTGGCCACCCCACGCGCCCATAGAGAAGGGCATTCATTGGTGGGCACAATGACAATGGGCAGGGGCACATAGCCAATCTTCACAACAGTGCACAAGGCGCCAATTGGGTGTCCAAGGAAGGCATCAGGAAAGCCCAATCCACTGGCCCAAAGAGCATGGATGTAGCACAAGCACTTGGCGTTGTCAGCAGCACAACTGCTTGGGCACCACCTCTGAGCTTCCACATGGCCACACAGGGCAGATAGATCACCTGCCTGCACAACTCATCCTCAATCACCAGGGCTGCTGTATGACAGCACCAGAGAGCCAATGGCAATCAACAAGGTATTGTACAGCAGCCAGGCACACACCCATGTTTGCCTCCTACAGTGACAGATCATTGGCAACAGTGATGGCAGCAGCCACATCCTTGCCAGCATGGATGGGTCAGATGGTGTGCTGCACAAACTGCTTGAGCACAGCTGAAAGCAATGGCAGCACATGCAAGAAGTCAGTGGCATCAAGCAGCTCAACCCCAGAGATGGGCACCCATATTTGGCACAAGCCTCAGGCATTTTGGGGTTGATGGATACAATGGGTGTGCTATTGTCATACACCCAGAATCTCAGGCTGCCACCCTCAAACAGGTGCAGTGGCTGATAGCCACTGATGACAATGATGGTGGACTGCATGGTATGTAATATGAGTGACAGGGCAGTGAAACAATGACACCAGATACATCTGAGAGGCACACACAGCATCATTCACCTTTTATTGTCTCTTAATTTTTCAGATATCCCTGGGCACACCATAGCTGGCACCAAGGGCATAGCAATCCAAGGCGCACTTGTGCACAATGTGCCATGTGATGGCGTTACCAGATCAGGGAGCATGCATGCCCAGTGAGAAGAACTTGGTGTACAGTGCATCCCCAAGCAGACTGAGGAGCACTGAGTAGGCTGGTGCCATGCACTCAAGCAACTTGGACAAACCACCTATCAAGTCTGAGGCCATAGTAGTGTGAAACTGACAACAGCACCCGCTCTATCAGGCTGTACCAGTTGCCACTGCTGCTGTTGACATGGTGGGTGATCTTGTCCAGGTAGGCATTGTTGGCGATGATGAGATCACATCCCTGCAGGCACTTGTTGCCCTTGTTGGATGCATAGGCATCTGCTTTCCCAGGGCCTGGGAAATGAGCGCTGTGGCCAGCTGCAAGAACTTGGACTCAGGGATTGTGGCGGTGATGCTGGCCAGGCGGTGGAAGGCATCTTGGTCAGAATCTGACATGGCATAATCAGTGGATGTGCCCAGTCTGCAATGAGGGCCATGATTGAGTTGACAGTGGCGCAGGTGAGCTTGACCATCCATTGACGGTCTGCGCCCAGGCCAACTGGAATCCGTGGGTTCCATCCATGCCATTCTGGATGAGGAAACTGCCACCACATGGGAAGGTGGGCATCAGACCGGCCTCATGGCATCGCGCCAGTCGCAAATCCAGGGCGGTGCTGTTGGTGCTGCCGTTGAATGTGCCGAATAGCATGAAGGTGCCCATGGGCATGGTGGTGATCTCCACGGGCACTTGCGTGTTGCCCTTTGATGTCGTGATGGCAAAGACGGGGGAGTGCAATCCGGGCTGGCGGTAGCTGGCCAGCGGTCCGTTCCACAGGTATCGCGGAGCATCATGGCCCACCTCGCACGATCCGCGCACAGCCGGTCGGACGGTTCCTTGCACTCTCTCGCTGGGCAACGACACTCGGCAAGCATGCACGCGCGATTTTATTACCACGCTGATCCGAATGAGCGCGCGGTCAAGATCGTCGAGAGCTCATGGGAAGCCGTGGGCAGACGAGCTGGCAGTGCACGCTGTTTGCTCGCTGACGGGTGTCGCGTTAACATAGCCAACGAGAGCGACCACGGGGAGATGCGCGCGCCGGACGGCACGCGTATCTATGACGGCCATCTGTGTCCTAGGACGTTCCTCCCGCACGGCATGGGCACCACCTATGCCTCGGACGCGCGGCTCGGGAAGGATGGACATGGGCCGCATCAGCGGCAGTTGGAAAGACAGTGCCACGTTTTACGCGCCCTGTGTGGCATGCGCCTTCGCATGATGTCGGGATGGGTGCGCGAGTTGAACAACGGCGCGATCGAAGCCGACGTGCGCATCATGCTCGTGCAGAGCGACACCCTACATACCTGCTGGGACGAGCATGGCGTGCTTCCCACGATCAAGCGTTTTGCTCCAGATGATTAGCAGGAAATCACTGTTGATGGCGCGCTCATGCACCTCGTCCACCACGATTAACGAGTTGTCGTCGAGCGTTTTGTCAGCCTGCAGACGTCGCAAGAGCAGACCTGTTGTGCAATTGTGCAACAGCCGGTCACGCCACTGATGACGATGACTTGGTTATTTGCCACCGCCCTAGCATGTGGTCCTTCATTTTGTAGCAGGCGACCTGCAGCTGCCGGCTGAGGGCTGCTCGTCGCTCACAGTCCTGCTGCCACTCAGCGTCAGTGCAACTTAGAAGGGTGAGACATGGTGTGGTAAGTTGATAGAGTAGTTGCAGTTGTTGTTTGCATTGAGTTGGTTACTGATGATACATTGAGGTGACTCTCACCATTTTATACTTGGCTGGTCCCTCAGCCTCAGGCCGAGACCAAGGCCTGGGCGAACGATTCACATGACCTCTCAGGCAGTTCGGCTTTAGGAGATTAAATAAAGATGCCAACGAGATTTCAGGTGTTACACGCCGCCTTAATCCTCTGCTTCATGATGGCAGAACCGCAAAATAAAAGAAAAAAAAAACGACGCACAAAGTGTCAGGCCTTTCTGTGAAGGTTTTCTCCTTCCTACTTTTTTACTGGCTGGGAGAATAAAAAAAATGCCAGCATCCCCATTGGCTCCACTTGTGTACAACCCCCACAAGCATAGGAAACTACTTACATTCACCACCACTTACCACCACCACCACCCAACCCACCACCCACAACCACCATCATGGCCAACCTCACCACACAATTGCCACCAGAGCTGCTGGGCATCATTGCCTCCTTCATCAACTCTGGTGACCTCTTGCAGCTGGAGGCAGCTTGCTGCACCTGGAAGGCCATGGTGTGGCCTCAAGACCTCTTGTGGAGGCGCCATGTGGTCACTCTCATGGGCACTCACCTCAGTGGAAGTGGCCATTCCTTCCCTGCCCTCTCAGAAGAAGCCACAGTCAAGGCCATGCACCACACCTTGGAGAGAGAGATGTCCATGGAGCTGAGCTGGTGCAGCTGTTTTGGTTCTGGCACCTCACTGAGGGCTCACTGGGGCAACACTTCCTTCACCACTTGAGTATGGCAGCATAACTCCAAGCTGGCCTACACCACATGTCACACAAGAGAGGACCTGCAGGCCTGGCCCCTCAGCCAGCCTGCTCCAGTGGGTTGGGAGCAGAGCATGGCCATGTTGGCAACTGACAACACCCATGGGTACATTGTGTCTGGAGGAGAGGACTTGCTTGTCCACTTGTGGGATTTACAGGGCTGGTTTGTTAACCCCTTCCCATACACTGAGTTATCACTCAATCTCTCCTGGACTCTAGTGAATGCCAAAATAGCTGTGGTTTCCTCTTTCACCACAACAGTTTGTGTCTGCAGACACACACCTCAAGATGTCAAGTGCCATGACCCCACTCATGGGGGCATTGTGGTCACAAACTGGGCTGAGCCAGCTCCTCCTCCTGGCCAGCATCCTATTCATCACTTGGTAACTCCCACCCCCATCTCTCAAATCCTCATTGCCCAATTATTCATCAATTGACATCACTGCTGTGATGTCTCTTTTCCGCGTTGCTTGGGCCAAGTATGTGGCCAAAGTAAAGTTGTTAGGTTTATGAGACCCAGCCCTGCGCTGCATGCTGCCGTTTAGTTCCTCAATATAATATAATATAATATATATACGAATCAAGAGAACAAAGGCTTAATCTCAGAGGATCGTAGAAACAAGTCTACTCTGCCCCTTACAATACCCCGTTCTTTATATAAGTCGTCTGCAAAGGATCCGGTCCCTGCCGCAAAGTCTGAAATTCCTCGCGAATAAACACGGAGGACACAAAACTCCACCACCCGAGTCGGCCCAGCCAGTTCAGGTCAAGGTCAACTGGGTGTTAGGCGCTTCAACCAAAGCTTCCACTGTCGTACTCGGCCGCCTCCTGCTGGTAGCGAACTGCCAAGTCACGCACCCTTGAGCTGGCTTCTTGAAGGGCGTACTCCAAATCATCGCACCCACGCTCATAGTACCTGCGACTTGAAAGTGAGCATGAACGTGGAACACGCACGATGACTCCAAAAGAAAAATCCTTAACATACGCGCGGAGTGTGTGACGTACAGGTAGACTTTGCGCCTGAACATGGCGTTGAAGATCTTGTACGATGTCTCCAGGGAGTGTCGCACGCTGGTCGAATTGGAGACGAGCGTGCAGCTGCCTCGCGGCAGGCGACTGCCTTTCTCGCCCGTGGTCATGGCCGTCACAGCAGTCGTTCCCGCCACGTCAGCCTCACGGCTACCGAATGACGGGCTCGGTCGCGGGTGCCACCGCCCGAAGGAATGCTTGGCATTGTCGGCGACCCAGGGCACATACCATGATACCACTAGACTATCGGTCGTCGTCGTCGGCAGCTTGGCCTCGCCTCCTTTGGCTTTGGCGGCGACAGTCGTGGTAACTTCATGCATCTGCGCCAGGGGCTCCTCGATGTCGCTGGACCNCA